GTGCCCTGTGAAACCCCTTGGTCCTGGGCAAATGGGGATAGTGGGTCACCTGCACTCCATGCTTCCTCATCTCACACTCTGCTACAGCCACGCTGCCACCTCTTAGCTACGAGAACACTCAAAGCCTTTTCTTTCTCCTGGCCTTTGTAGCACTAGAATACTCACATCACTCACAGCTGCTATTTTCAGGTCTCCATTTAAATGTCCCGTCACGCCCTCCTGACCATTCTGTAGAAAGGAGGGTGCTGTCTCTCATGCCCTAGTATTCTCTGTTATTGGCATTCTGACCCTTTTCTTCACAGTACTTCATAGCACTTATAATAGTAATTATACTATTTCCTCGTTGCCTGGTTTATTTTCCCTTTTTCCTCACAAGAACATAAGCTCCATAAACTTAGTGATCAGACCTGTTGTATTTATCACTATGTACCCTGTGTCTAACAATATACCTGGCACATGCCTGGAAAATCACAGGAATTTAACAAATAGTTGATGATTGGATGAGTAAATCATAAATACTTAAAAATATTTGTTAGGTAACATAGTAATAACTATGTATGGTGTCACTTGGGTACTAGACAAATCCACTTGATCACTTTGTGAGGGATATAAATGTCTAGTTACTACGTTGTAGTAACTAATTTGAAACTAATAAAATATTACATGTCGATTTGAAACTAATAAAATATTACATGTCGACTGTAATTGAGAAACATTTTTTATTTTTTAAAAATAAAATAAAATAATTTTTTAAGTGCATGAAATACTGAATCTACATGGATCTTAACCCAAGTTATCCACACTTCTCTACTCCTTTTTTTTCCACCTCTCACTACAACCTGTGCTCATGAAGGAAGCACAATTTGCAATGTATATATACACAGGTTGTGGTTTAGGGTGTGTCTGTGGTGTATGGTGTGGTGTGGTGTGTGTGTGTGTGTGTAGTAGAAAGGGTATCTAATTTAGCTCTAATGCCATTTAAAGTCTAATTATCTTTGCTGACAGTTTTAAATTTGATAACTTTTCTCAGAGTTACTGAGTGACTTTGTCACTGGGGAAGTGTCTAAGGAAAAGGTGCCATTCGTAGCCTGATAGCAATTCAGTGTTCAGAACTTGGGAGGTAAACAACTTTGAAGCAACATTACCCTTCGAAATAACTAAGAAAAGACTCTTTACTGGATAGTTTAAAGAAATAAAAAATAATAACTACTCCGTTGGCTATCTACTACAACGCAGAATCTTTGTCGAGTGTGCGTGTGTGCGTGTTGAGCAACTACTACATGCCAGGCACTAGAAGCACAATGGTCAACAAAACAAATGTAGTTCATTTTCTCAGAGGGGATGCACTTAACTGAGGAAGATGTTACAATTAGAAACTGAGAAAAGTGGGGGGAAAATGTGTAGTGGAAGGAGGAACCTGATGTGGGTAAGGAGTCCAGAGGCTGCCTCCAGCACATCAAGTTTGAGGCTGAGGTCTACAGTGTGAGAAGCCACCTGGGCCAGGACCCTGCATTTCTGGATGGTACTTCTGGATGGTTGTTGGGGCCTTTCACCCACTAGACCTTTAAAACTAGATCTAAGAAATGAACACTATGCTACTGAAGATTTTTTTTTTTCAGTTGAATTTTTTAACATGTCAATGATTTGATTTAAAAAATAGCTTCACTTTGTACATATCTCTGTAATTTACTTCTGGGCACTCAAATGTTCTGGAAAAATTATACTTTATAATAAGATTGAATATATGTTTCATTTTAAAAAGTGTACTCTTCAAGAAATATGTCTTATCTGGGAAAGGAAAGTAAGAACTTCGTTTTTTAATTGTATATAGTAACACATAAATGTGTGTGTGCATGCATGTGTGTGTTTTTAAGGATCCTCAAAGTAATAAATTATATTGTAATGTTATATTTTAAGGGCCTAAATCCATCTGTTGCACTTAATGGTATAACCCTACCTTCTTCTATTTCTACAAGCAGAGATTTGTTTCTTACCCCCGAGGAACATGCACACCATCAGTCAAGTGCACTGGTGAAGACATTCTAGGCCTAATTTCATGCAGAGAGCCAATGACAGAATCAGGTTTAAAGTCAAGGTTGAAGATGGCTTTACTCTGCAGAGCATTTACATCATAGTGAAAGCACCTCACAGTAAGCTGTTTCTGGGGCAAACTTCTTGTTGATTTAATGTTACTTAAAGATTATTGCCTCAATCTCTCAAGGTGTTTACATGAAGCTATTTTAGTTACCAACTCTTTACCTTTCACCTTCTTAATGTTTCATTTTTGGTTTAACTCCCTTCAAGTTTTATGAAATCAGACAGATAGTATATTAACCACTTTTAGAGAAAACTTACTTTCAAAAGAATGTGACTTAATTCATATTCTATTTAGAGTCATGATCTATTGAAACTCACACTTTTAAAAAAGCACTATACTTTTTTCTTCACTCTGTTGTTTTTTATTTATTCTAAATGGACATAACACAGCAAGATGTCCCACTGTGGTGGGCCTGTTATTACAATAGACTGCTTATACTATTTCAACAAGACTATGGATCTGTTTTTAGAAACTATCAGTTCTGGAGAGGCTGATATTATAAACAATGTAATTGTACTTAGGATCCATCCAGAAACCGGAGTGTTTTTGTCATCTTTTGTCAAATTTAATGGTTTACTTCTAAAGTATAAGCCTTTGGATGAGCTGCTTATGCTCCTCCAATCTTAATTTTCTCATCAATAAAATGAGGAAGCTGGACCAACATTTAGGATTCCTACCAGCTCTGGCACACCACGGGTCTTTGATTGCACAGCTCCAGGTTATTTCTCTGATAGACCGTGATCATTTCTGCATGCCCCATCGCTTGACCTCATTTCTCAGATGGACTGTTTTGAAAAAAAAAAAAAAAAAAAAAGAACAAAAGGAGAAAGCATCATTTTTGGGTGGCTTCTTATTAAAGGGGTATCCCCTTTGATATATTAACTTGGAACTCACTTTGATTTCTTTTCAGAGTTCATAGAATTATTTTTCTTCGTAGAGGGACTATGGTTACCTTGGCCACAGTCTCTGATTCCAATTTCTGAATCCAGAGCCTCTTACCTTTGTGATCCAATTAGAAATATGCTAACTGGTTTGCCAGAGAGACCATCTCTTTTCTTCTCTCTGTCCAGACTCCCATTCTTTTGTCTCACATATTTGCTTTTTGCAGTACTGCAAAGTTATGCTTTATTCAGTGTATTTGCAAATTGCATATGTGTGTCCATGTATATCTCAGATAGCTAGGGATTTTACTTGGGT